AAAGTTTTGTACATAAAACAGATATCACCGAAAGTCTTTACCGATCGTTTTTATCATCATCATCATCATCCTAAGTATTATTATTTCATTCTGTGTGACGAAAAGTGTACACTTGTAACTGAAATCTAAGCATATATGCTTACGCAAGTTGTACAAATAAAAAATAATCGCCAAAAGGCTACCGGTCAGGCTTACGTTTCTATCATCTGGTCCACTGACCTCAGAATGCCTCAGTATGGTCGGCGGCGGGTGTCTCCGGTTGTGGATGGTCACTCTTTCCTTGTACCTCGCGAAATGCTCCCATACGACCAAGCGCCTCGGATGGCTTCTGTTGAGGAGGCACTACTCACTGCCTTTTCGTGGCGGAGGTATTCTTCGACTAATATGAGGGAGCGAAAAGCCAACATCGGAGGATATAACCGGGTCCGTGAACCACGATCGGCAATTGGCTAAATGCCCTGATTCCAGAACAACCAACAAGAGAGGTCTTATCCTGGCACACACCTTTCTGGTAGTGGTCGCCGGCTCGTTTGGGCATTGAGATATATTACTCAACTTGGACGTTTGACTCCGTCCGAGGGGACGTATGATTCGATGAACTGGACACCGGTTGCGGTTTTCACACGCCGGCCCGCTGCTTTAGGGTAGGGCTTTGGCTATCCGATTGTGAATCCCCCAAGAAAATTCACCTGCTTTGGCCTGGGTAAACTATTAGTAGCATGCTCTCGAGCAAATCATGAACCTTTTTTCTCTTTATAAAAATAGCTGATCCGTGATTTGTTTGGCACATAGTCTGAATTCAGGTATGTGAAAATAAAATTATTGGTCGGCTAAGAATGGTAGATACCCAATCTTGCGGTCATCAATGCGTCATCATACTTTCCAATACACTGAATTGAAACTTATCCATTCGTTAAGATGACCAGCCATTTTGTGCTCGAGTCCTCGTTCCAGCGCATAGGGGTTCGTTTAAACAGCAGCTTAAATAAAACAGTGATGAGTGATGACAGTGATGATGTTCGAATACAGTACAATGTGTATGAGCAGAAGGTTGTTTCGAGGAATCAACTATTAACTTTTTAGGGGGACTGAGAATTGGATAACAGAATGGCTGATTTTACCCATCAGCATAATCACAATGGTTCTGTGAAGCACAGCGAAGTTGATCGCCCTCACCGATCACAACAAAATCTAGATATTTCCTCCAAAGGTATTCCGCCTCGCTGTCCTATTGAAATTTTAAATCACAAATTGAATGGTCTCTAAATTACCCGATTTTTGATCACTAATCAACAAGTAAGTCCGGCACTATGCATGTATTAAGAGGACCCTCATAGTTATGATCGGGCAGAGAACTGAATTGAAGTTTTTTCCCATTGTGCTGGAGAAACTAGTCAAACCATCAACCCATACTCTATATATTTTGCTGCAATGATGAGGTCGCTAATTAGTCAAATAACTAAGTAATATGGCCAAACTAGATATGAGAGCATTGTCATCGGCCTTGTAACAAGAACCCAGTCGATAATCTAGGAGATTATGGGTAAAACTCAACG